TGCCACTTCTGCGGGGTTTCCATTAACTTCCTGAAGTATCCTGATAAGATTCATAGATGCTGCAAGCGCGTGGTAGCTTGTGATGCCTCTGTCATTGCATCTTGGCGCACTGCGCTCACAGAGCTGGTGCAAGACTTGACTGTCGTTCTTGACAAATTCTAGATTCTCGGTACTTGTTTCCATTCATGTTTCACGTGCACCAATGAGTGCTTCATGCAAACGACCGACTGATGTCCGTTAATAATAAGGACCCAGAAAGGGACCATTAATTTTGACAACCACCCGCATTGCCCTATTCCCCAGGAGTCGCAACCCCCCCCAAGCCGGATATCAGACATCACAGCTGAGCTTAGAAGCTTAATAATATTGAAGTTCTTCAAAGCGTGTCATGAGCGTTCCTTAAGGTTCTAGACAGGTACTAGAGGGATTCTAGGCTTTATAAGGGCTTATGTGGTTTATGATTCAGGGCCTTGCGGTACTGCTGCCAGGGTTTTGGGGCTTCGGGTTCTCCATCTTAGTAGCCGGTAGGCCCCATAGTAGTTCCTTTTTGGGGTTACCTTATAGGATTCTATATATGAACCCCAAAAAGGAACTACTTTAGGGCCTATGGGTAATGGCATAATCGTACCTTCAATTTTGTGAACCTGTTCGGGGTCAGGCCACCTTTCTCGTCCTGTGACCGGTGGAATGAGCTTGAGTTTTCAGTGTATGTTTACGCGACTAAACCATAAACCCAAAACCCTACTATGCCCTGCACGCGAGTAATGAGCCTGGTGTGAGAAGCTGCGAGCGAGTCAGTCGACCCCACTTCCACCCTGGCGATGTTCAGAGAGCGGGGCATCCTTTCTGAAACACTGTCTACTTGAGCCTCGATGTAAAGATGTATACGACATCTCTCTTCTGGAGCACATGACGCAGAGCCGGCGAAGCAGCACGCAAGGTGCCACCAGCACTTGACGGCCTGCACAGCTTGTGGAAACTTCGAACTTCGAGCCCTTCCAGGAAGCCCGATGACCTCACCACGCAACAGCAATACTAGTATAGCTGTTCCAATTTTTCAGGTTGTCGTGGTAAGTTGAAGTGGAGGGGCTTGCCACGTCCGGCAGCGCTACGGGCGGCCCCCAGCACCCTGCACTACGTGTGCACCTACCTTGAGCAAGAGATTGTCTCTGTTTCTAGTCCCAAGGGTCCTATGTACTGTTAATACTTCCCGAAATCATGATAGTAATTCCTAGTATCGAAACCCTACATTCTACTATATAGGTACTTAGGTGCCTCTACCCTAGGCTAGAGGTGAAACCCACGAGCATCTGCAAAGCCTGAAACACGGACACTGAACCACTTCAAACCCAAAACCAACAAACCCCTCGACCCCGAAACCATAAAGCCTCCCGATCCAAAAACTCTAAACCCCTAAAACCCTAAACTCCCAAACTCCTAAACCCCTAAACCCCCTAAACCCTAAGCTCTTAAACTCCCAAACCCCTAAACCCCTAAAATCCTAAACCCCACAAGCCCTTAAACCCCTAAGCCCTAAGAACTAGCCTCAGAAGCCGGCGAGAAGTATGAGAACCACCCGTCGGTTTGCACCTCAAAGGCCGGGGTGGGTCAGTTTTACTGCCGGGGACAGAAGGGGATATAATTTAAAGCAACTCTTTATGACATTTGTTATATATATATATATGTGTGTGTGTGTATGTATGTATGTATGTATGTATGTATGTATGTATGTATGTATGTATACATAGATAGATAGATAGATAGATAGATAGATAGATAGGTAAACAGATAGATAGACAGATATACCATGCACACACACACACACACACGCGCGCGCGCGCACCGAAACCCTGTTCTGCAACACATGTGAGTGGGTACCCTTTCGCGTGTTCTGTGTACTGTAGCCCTGATCTACATTGTCACAAGAGGTTAGCCTCCCGCCTCCTAGAAATGCTAGGCGACCATGAAGTCACCGGGTATTGGCTTCGGAGTCAAGTCGGGGTTGGGACGTCTGACATAAAGCCATGCATGATGCGTTTATAGGATGATCTCATGTCGTCGACGGTATATATAACCCTAAACCCTAAACCCTAAACCCTAACCTTGGAGCAAGCCTGACATGCAAACCAAAGCCATCAAGTGTTCTCACTCCAATGAGCGTTGCTTCTAAAGTTCCACCCACGCCGCCGCCAAGCTTTCAATTGCACAAGCTTCAAGTCATCGTCGGGGCCTTGCATCTCTTACTCGAGGTATATCCCCCCCATGAAGGAGTAGTGGGTTCTAGAGAAAGTTGCCGCCGTGGAAACCCGAAAATGCATTTCAGCCTAAGTCTTCCATGCCGTACCTTGGAACTTATCCGATGATTTGCTTCACCACTGTGATACCTCTGGCCAGGGCTTCCTTGGGGGGTGCCTGTGATCCCGGCATAGTTTTCTGGGTTTCGAATGCCACACGAGTCTCCAGAGCAGGGTATACAGTGAGGTTCCCGGCGCTTGGGCTCGTGACTCGTCTTTGGTTTCATGTTCCAGGGAGACCGCCTGCGACCCCAGCTGAAAGCTCGATTACGATACCACAGACCCTGCATCTCATGGAAACCCGAAAGTCTCAACCCCTTACACAGTTTCGACTCCTTAGCCCTCAACTCCTACTCCCTGAAGCTTCAAGACCTGCAAAGACCCCATTTTCCTCGACTGCACCATCCCGGAACCCTCAGGAGTGTGGCTGCGCTGGGCAGCCGGAACACTGCAAGGCTACATGCATCTTGGCCATCAAGGAGCTGTAGACCCATGCCCTTGAAGGAACATACCTGATAATTTGGTCTTAGGGTAAGAATCATGTAGGTTAACATCTACGGGAAGTAGGGGATTATGAGGGTGCTCCTTGGAAAGACCTCCGGGGCTTAGGGCCTTGCGACCTAAGGCCAAGATTTAGGAGTAAGGCTCTTGGGCTAAAGGGCTCTTGGGTTCTTGGGTTCTCGGTCGAAGTTTCACGATTCGAGGCTTGGGCTTGCGATTGCTCGAAAAGCTTGTCGTTGGCTCAAAGGACGGACCACTGGGAGTTCTGTTGATTTAGAGATGCTACATGGGATCCCTTCCCTTTTGAACTTCGGGTGCATTTCCTTGGCTTATGCGTCGTCACACTTAGCGAAGTAGTTCTCTTCTCAAGATCTGAAATGAGGGCAATTATCCAAGACAAGGTATCGCAATCCTGGGTCCGGGCAGCGTGTAAGACCTCCTCAGCCACTGCGAAAACACAACCCTAAAGTCTAAGCCCTTAATCCCTAAACTCTGAACCCTGAACCATAAGCCCTAGACCCTAAACCCTGAACCGTAAACCCTGAACCCTAAACCCTGAACTCTAAACCCTAAACCATGCAACTTTGGCGACCTGCAGACCTTCGACGAGCGCCCTTAATTGGGATTTTCGGGTTGTCCTAAGGCCGGACGCAAGGTTTAGGGTCTACCTTAACCCACGGTTTAGGGCTTTTAGGGTTTAGGGTTTACGGGTTTCGGGTTTTAGGGTTTAGGGGGTTTAGAGGGTTTAGGGTTTAGGGTCCTTAACCGGAGGGTTGGATGGGCGCTGGCCGGCACCTCAGTCCGTGCTGAAAAGGGTCCTTAACCTCTAAATAACGTACTTTTTGAAGGACCTATATAAAGAAATTAATAAGGCACACTGAAAAGGCAGGTTCTTTAGGGTCCAGGTAGGGTTTTAGTGTTTGGAGAAGACCGGACAAGACCCGAGGCTACTTCGGAGACATGGGAAACAACACCTGCGATGGCCGACAGCTCAGTAGTCTCGGGATTGTGGCTCTTCTATGTGTAAATAAATAAATAAATATATATATATATATATATATATGTGTATATATATATAGACATGTGTATATATACATGTATATATATATATATGTATGTATGTGTACAGTTGCTTAAGGGTCAATTAATTCATCTACGGGGAAAGAACGGGGGCCAAGCTTGTTTTGCTTTCCTCCGTGTCGACGGTTGTGGAGTTGCAAACCATCGTGGTAAAGTCTTGGCTTCTGTGGCCTGACCGGTTTAGGGTTTAGGGTTGACGCGCCCAGGCATTCCGGGGTAGCTGTTGTCATTGTCTTTTGTTTTTTGTCTAGTTGTTTTGATTCGCAGTGTTCGTTACGGGGTTGCGGGTTCCAAGGCCTGCTGCATATATAGGGAATACTCCCCAAGTTGTCCAGTCAGGGCTGTAGTTTCCGGACCAGCAGTGGGGCCTTTGGGGCTTTAGGCCTTCTTCTTATCGGGAGTTCGATCATGTCTTTATATTGTGGTATACTTGTCTGTGGACTATAATAAGGAGATAGATACTATTGCCAATCATTCAGTTCCCTTTTCCATTCTTGAATTACGCAGATGTGAAAGCCATGCCATTTATTACAGGGGCCTATATCCTTACCAGTACTCCTTTTCGGGCTCCTTACAACTGTAGTGGAAAGTGCCCCACAAACCCTATTCTATTTATCAACATCCCTATATGGGTAGTTTTCTAAATTAGGGTGCCTTTTTGGGTCCTTATTATAATACGGCACCTATTATTTAGGGTACCCCAAAAGGGACCATAACTTTGACAACTACCCATACACTTCTGGATAGCCAGCACTGCAGAAGCCTAAAGAAGTAGAGTATCGTTCCGGTATAAGACAGCATAGCTGTATAGGAGTAGTGTTGGCCCAGCGTTTATAGGGCATAGGATTTGGGGTCGGGTTTCGTATACATGCCTTATAACTAGTCTCGGCTTTGGCAGATGCTTGTACTGTTTCGTACTTCAGCCAGCTACACAGAAACCATGGAGGTAGTTCGTTTGGAGTTCTACAGACCCAAAAACCCTAAATCCTAAACCCATACAAGTACATGAGGTTGGCCTGCTTGACAGAGACGGTGCATTACCCTGCAATGCGGGCTTGTCCTTGCTAAGTAGGAGGCAAAAAGCCCATAGAAGTCCCTAAACCCTAAACTCTCCTGTCTTGCGGCCTTAAGCGACTGAGAGTGTCCTCGAAGTCTCGAGCACGTGTGCTCAGCTTGGACAAGTTGAGGGATTGAGATGTAGGCTTTGGCTTTAAGGAAGACCCTATGTTCTGAATCCAAACCCCAAACTAACCTGGAAACGTACACCCTGCACCCTGCGGAGCGGAACAAAGCTTGCTTATCCTAGCTCTTGTGCAGGAAGCAGCTTCGATTCATCCTAGTTCCTGGCCCTTGGGGGTTTGGGGTTTAGGGTTTCATTTAGGGTTTAGGGTGTAGGGTCCGTAGCCAATTTGGCTCAAGGGTTTCTCCCAGGCTTTAGTCAGGGCGTCTCCACCTCGAGAGGAGAGTCCTCCGAAGAAGCCTAAGAGGAACAACGAGATCGAGGAAGAGCACGATGATGAGGATGCCAACCTTAAACTCGACCGACTGTTGAGGGAACAGGCAACGCCGCGTAGTGATCCCGCACCCTCTTGGGCTGTTGCTCTACAGAATTCTGTTGAGTCAAACATCGGCATCCTCACTCAGCATGTTGGGGGTATTGAAGACAGACGTGTGGTGTCGAGAAACTGTTACACGATCCCACAAAAGATGAAAAGTACAAGGCACTATCTCTTCGGGTTGATGAACTCGCTGCATTGGTGAAGGCCTCCTCCTCCAGTGGTGCACAGCGACAGGCCGATGTTTCAGCACAGCAGCGTGACGCTACCTTTGATCTATGGGCGGGATGGAAGGCAGAGCGTAATAACAGTGCGGCAGTAGCCTCACATTCACATCAAGGGAGTGGCAGTGCGTTCCCACAGAGTGTTGCTCCAATGGATTCCAATGGATTGTGGTGCTCCTGTGTCAAACAACGACACTGACTTTTCCCATCTGATCATCGGAGGCTGGGAGTTCGATAGCCCTAGGGCGATCATACAGTCAGATCTGGACAAGCTCCTTGCGACATTCCATAGCCCCTACGACCGCATGGTAGAGAAGCACATCATATATGGAAAACGTGCGAGCGCAGCACATGTGTTTCTTACAGGCGTGGACTTCGTGCAGGCACAGACCCGATTCTATGAGATCCAAGAAAAATTTTCCAACAAGATCATGAGCCATGCAGGGACTCCTATCTGGATAGCCCCAAGCCGCACACCATAACGCAGGCTGATGAACCGCACCACAAATAAGGCAGGAGAGGCTATTCTACGCCTGTTTCCACGAGACCAGCAACCTACAATCGAGTATGCTTGGCAACATCAGATCATTTGGGTGGATGGCAAACGTGTGGCTGCAGGTGCACCGGACCTCTTAGCTGCCACCGCCGGTGATAGGCTGATCTCGGTGTTCTTCGCGGATTCTGCCGAAAAGTCGGGAGGCGGCTCCAGATACCACTTCAATGTGACGGTGCTCTCATCCATCACGAATGCATCCCCCGCAGATGTCGAATGCAGACTTCATGAGTCTGCCTGATCTTCGAAGCCGACTACTGCTGCTGAAGTCCTCGTTGTTAATGCATGGAATGCGCAGGGTAAGACTTTGCAAACCGTTGGCGAGTGGATTGAAGCCACCACCCCATGTGCAGATATCATCACCCTCCAAGAGGTTAGTGGTATTGGTGGCCTTACACCCCTTCATGCATCCAGCTCTGAACACAATCTTCACGAGTACATTGTCCATGACGGTGAACTTGAGGATTACTTCATTTTCGGTACAAACGAACTGGAATCACATCTTGGCCAAGTGATCCTTCTCTCCAAGGATGGTGTTGAGTATGTCAGTGAGGCTTACAGAGGGGAGAGGGTGACAGGGGTCAGGTTTCTGCTTCGTCTTCTAGTGTTCAACGATGGGTATTCTCAGTTCATCTTCCGCACAGTCACAACACAGATGATCTATTCCAAGTCAGTGCATGAGATTCGTCGGCTTTGCAACAGACACCGTGGTGATCATGCAATATTCATTGGTGATGTTAATGTAGAGCCCTGCAGTGCGCGAGTTGTGTCCTTGGACGGGGTATTTCGTGCAGCTGGTTTCACTCCTTGTCGAGCTGGACAACCCACACGTTTTGGACGCTACACAGCCGCAGAGCTTGATTATGCTTACATCAGTCGGAATACCAGCGAGTCTACTGCATCAGAGCCCCCGTCGAGGTGCCTTGAGGTCATTAACGGTTCCCGTGAGGACATTGGCAGTGATCATGACAGCATTTCTTTGGCCCTTGCATCCGTTACTAGCAATTGCACGAGAAAGAGACGGAGAACTACACACAAGAAGCGCTGTGCCCGGTGGAGTGTCAATGCGTCGGCGTTGCGGTCATGCCTCTCCGCTGTATCGCCCGATGGGCTGAATGTGCATGGACAATGGGAGCTGCTCAAAGATATCCAGCGTACAGTCTGCTACCGCACCCCCACTCAGACATACAGAGACCATCCTGAAGTAAAGCAGCTTCGCAAGCTCAGACGGGAATCTGTTGACCATGAGCGGATACACATGCTTACCAAGACAATCCTCACTAAACGAGCGGCTGCCCGCATGGAGTGGCTTCGGCAACTGGAGAGCAGGGCCACTGAGGGTGATCCTCAAGCCATTCGTTATCTCCGACAGAGGCAGAAACAGTACGGCGACTATGGGCCACTGCTTCGGACTGCAGGTTCCCCTAAGGAAGCTGCGGATGCTGTTCGCACTCGCTTTCGGGACTTGTTTATGCCAGACATCCGTGATGATGATGTCCACCATGTGGAGTCCTTACTGCAGGAATTACAGTGTTTGTCAGATCGTAACACTTGCAACCCCTTCACGCATGATGAGGTCAGCACTGCAGTATTACGTCTGAAAACTGGTAGGGTCTCTGGCATGTCAGGAGTACCTGCTGAGCTCATGCTTGCTCTCTGGGCGGATGCAACTGGACGGCGAGTTGTTATGAGTTTCCTGAATTCCCATCTTTCCGAAGATGATGCCCTGCCGGAGCTTAATGACTCATTCGTCACCCTCGTCCCCAAAGTCGCGCATGTCGCTTCCGCCCAGCAGCTCCGACCAATCAACTTGGTGGAGACGGTACACAAGATGTATTGCTTTTTGATCACACAGCGCTTGCAGAAACATTGGCCCCTACCTCCCTGCCAGTTGGGCGGTCTCCCCGGTTCGCAAGTTCTTGACCCCCTTACGGCAGCGTATTTCCAAGTTCAGCGGGAAAGTTCATCGCGCAACTACAGAATATACCTGAATGCTGATGTCCGGAGCGCCTTTGACTGCTTATCCCATCGAGCTGTCGCAGAATTCATAGCTAAGCACACTCCACATGAGCTGTCACGTGAAGCACTTCAGCTCCTGACGGTGATCCTCAACCACAGTTGCAATTTTCTTTTCAGGGGGAGCATTGGACTTTACAACAGTTGCAGGGTGTTCAACAGGGACATTCACATTCGTCATTGGTCTTCAGCTTTGTTCTTGGAACAGTTCTTCATTCTATACTACATACGTGGAAGCAAGATGGAGAGGATCTTGATGCATGGTTGTATGTGGATGATTTGCTACTCTGTTTCAACACCTGGGAGCAAGCCAGAAAGCTTGTTCCGCAGCTCGAGGCAGCCGTGGCCGCTGTGGGTCTGGTTTTCAATCCTGCAAAAACTGAGATCATGTCCCACGACACCAAGCTTCACGAAGGAAGATTGCTGTTCGCAAGCCTCTTCGCCATCATGAGCCATCGGAGTCCATCGCCACCCTACTTCTCCCTTCTGTGCATCAGCTTGCCCACTCTGCACTTCTGGGTATGAAAGGTATTCTTCGGGGCCTGCGCTGGCATCAACCTGCAGCTACCATGAGATTGTTGAGGCAGTATGTTGTTTCTACTTGGCTTTGGTTTTCGCCACTGTTGGTCCCCTCAACCGCCTCTGTTCGAGATGTTCATCAGATGCACACCACAATGACGACGATTGTTTTAGATCTTTATATCCCTGATTCCTGTTTCAAGGCTGTTGCGATGTCCTTGCGCAGGCTTAGGAGACGTGTCGCCATCTTGTGGCTTGATGGCTTTCCCGAATTTTCTTGGAAGTTTTCTTGGCGAACTCGTCTCTGGACGTACCTGGGCCACTTGTTGCGTCGTCCTTCCGATCATGCAGCTGCTAAAGTCTTTCAGCGCTTTATGTCTGCCAAGCGAACGGTGGGAGGTCCCTACAATACTATCTGGAGTTGGTTTCGCCAGCAGTGCCTGGAGATATTCCCCGACTTAGCATCAGAACTTCCTCCTGACGAATTCCTTACTATTGTTTCCCCACGAGCATCCAACAACCAGACGTAGCGCGACAGTGTTCTTCGATATTTCAAGCAAGTTCATGAGACCGAACGACATCCCATTCACAGGGATGTCACGTGGGAAAGCTGGCGTGCCATGTTGAACCCGCATGTCGATTGGGCTGCTACTGTACACATAGCATCTCCTCATGTGCTGATTTTTCTTGATGCTGTGGAGGGCATGCAGACGTGGCGACCTGCGTTTGCCATAGTCTTCACGGTCACCGATGAGTGTCATGACGTTCTGCTATCCTATTTGCAAACTATATGCATCTTCTTCTATTGGAGGAATTTCACATTGTACTTACTGTTGAAATCGTCAGTCAGCGTTGGCATCGTAAGATCTTGAACTGTAGCCAGTAGTGCTGCAGTTTGGCGCGATTCCGTTGCTGCCTGTCACCTTCCCCGGCCGACTTCACAAGCCCGGATGCAAAAAGGGTGTAGGGTCTATAGGGTTCAAGGTTTAGGGTGGGCTTGCTACGCTGATCTCAGATATCTTCTGCTGGGTTCAGCAGCCTAGAGAAGCGTACTTACAATGGAAAAGGCCTTACAAAAACCCGCAGCCCTTGCAGTACCGCTGTAGATCCCCTACAGGAACTCTTAGACTTAGACGAACCCTAAACCCCCTTAGCCCCCTAAACCCTAAACCCTAAAACCCCAAAGCCCCAAACCCTAAAACCTAAAACCATAAAACCCCTAAACCCCCTAAAACCTCCTAAACCTCCTAAAACCCCCTAAACCCTAAATGGGAAACCGGAAGGGGCAAAGCGTCGCATGGCCGAGGCACGCCGAAGCCGGCCATGGCAAGGCAGAGGGTTCTACAGGGGATTAGGGGTTTAGGGTTTCAGGGTTTAGGATCTATAGAGTTTAGGGTTTATAGAGTTTAGCGCTTTAGGGTTCTAGGTTCTAGGGTTTGAAGGTTTAGGGTTTAGGGTTTGTTTCGGGGTTTAGAGTTTAGGGCTTATAGGGCTTATAGGGTTTATAGGGCTTGTAGGGTTTAGGGATTAGGGTTTAGGGTTTATGGTTTTAGGGTTTAGGGGTTTAGGGTTTAGGGTTTTAGGGTTTAGTGTTTTAGGTTTAGGGTTTAGGCCGTTTGGGGTTTAGGGTGTAGCGGTGTAGGGTTTTAGGGTTTAGGGTGTAGGGGTTATAGGGTGTATAGGGTTCATAGAGTTGAGGGTTTAGGAGTTTAGGGTTTACGCCTTTTGGGGTTTAGGGTTTAGCGGTGTAGGGTTTTAGGGTTCAGGGTTTAGGGGTTTAGGGGTTCAGGGGCTTAGGTTGAGGGGTTGAGGGTTTTAGGGCTTAGGGGTTTAAGGGTTTAGGGTTTAGGAGCCGAGGGTTCTACGGAGGTATATAGGTTTTCCATACGGCTTTGTTTTTTCAGGGTTATGTTTTTTGAATGTTCTTTTGATCAGGGGGTTGGAGTTTAGAAGGGGCATTGAGGTTGGGCTGAGAATCAGAATTCGGCTGAAAGTTTGCGAGGCGATTCATGGGCTCCTTGTGCAGACTTGTTAGTGTCTACATGAGGCTGCCTGGGTTGCTGTTTCCAGCTGGTCGTCCTCAAGACGACCATGAGTCTGAGTTCGCTCTTGACTGAACAGAACGTGTTTGCAGCCTGGAATTTTGCAACCAAGATGCCAGAGACTCTCTGTTCACCAAATGCAACGTCTTGGACGGCAAGCCTGAGCTCGGTGTCGTTCAAGGACTTCCTGAGCTCCAAAAGAAAAGCGCTGGAGTGGGAGGTCGCCGAGGCGGAGGAGAGCACAAAGAAGGAAGGCCAAGACGCTGCTCGGGCATTGAGGGTTGATAGCTCCTAAAAGGGTAAAGGTCGAAAGGCTTAGAGGGCATTTGCCGCGAGCTAGCCGCTCTTATGCCTTGCACCTTCAATGATGGTAGACTGCAGCACCGGCAACCGACAGTGGTCCTCATCCCAAGCCGCGGGCCTTAGACCGTAAACCCTGCATCCCTGAGAGTGCATTCTGATCTACTTTGCATAGTCAGTAATCATCGGGCACAATTCTTGTTTTCGTTTTTCGTAGTGGTGTGCAGGAGATATTTGGGGTGCAGCCATTCTTCTTTATCATGACAACCAAACACAGAATCAAGTAAATACACCGTAAAATCTACGAACTAAGAGTCCAAGATCTAAGACTTGTTGCGCTTGGACTCAGCCAGCACCCGGAAACCCTAGGCCCTTAACCCTTAACCCGAGTAGGCACCCTGAGTACCCCGAAGCAAGGATGCAGTTGAACTCAGCTGAATACAGGAGATAAAATGATTACCCCTATCATTTTGAAGCTCCTTCTTACAATTATGGTATCATTCCAACACCCTTTTGTATTTGTTAAGTCCCTGATATGAAAGGCTTTCAGCTGCAGGAGTTTCGGCGTCACTGTTCCGCAGGTGAAGCTCAGAAGCTTCTGGGTTGTCATGCGTCTTTTAAATTATTTTCACATCAGCACCTTCATTGCTACATATGGTCGTATCATTTCTACTTGTCTTTTGGAGTCTAATTGTCGTATTTCTTAATCCTGTCCCTACAAGTATGATTGTTAGGCTTCCCGCTTCAGGGTGAGCGAAGCCCTAAACCCTGCAAGCCTTAAGCCCGGGACACCCTAGGCCTCACTCCCGATAGGCCGAAACTCTAGAGAATTGAGGGTTGGGTCTAGGATTTAGGGTTTAGTGTTTACGGGTTCAGGATTTAGGGTTTAGTGTTTAGCGTATTAGGGTCTGATTGATTTTGAGAAAGGGGGTCCAGTGCTCTTCGAAAGGCTCTGCGCCTGCCACAGCATCCGGAGCGCCATCACTACGGCCTTGCAGGAGATCACCAAGCAAGGCCTTACTGCTTTTCGCGCCTCTACCTCCTCAGACTGGTCTCGCGCTCCCTAAACCCTAAACCCTTAATTAACCCCAAATGGGAGTGTCCTAAAATAAGGGGTATCCCCTATCTTCGGAAACCACCAAAAAATAGCATAGCATTGTATGCCTTTGGCGCCGAACAACTGCCAAGTACCTACGGTGTTGGTACGTGCACCCTACCTACGGCAAGGCCTTTTGGACGCTGCGGTTGCAATGTCCAATGTTTGGGGGGTTTAGGGCTACAGACTTGGTCACTTAGTGCAGATGGCCGTGGGATTTAGGGCCCCTAAACCCTAATCGCGAAACAGAGCTTATCGAGCAGTAGGCAGACTCGAGCTTCATCATTGCACCTCAAAGTCAAGATCTTTGTGCTAGTTGTTAAGACTCGAATGGAACTAGGTTGATCTAAAACCATATTTTGCTTATTAAGGCCGACCCCTGTGTGGCCACCTGCCGGTCAGCAGGTCAGTAACTCTCTCCGGCTTAAGTCGTGGAACAAAGAATGATTGAAATCCCATCACTCAAAGCACGCTCACTACACTCTGCAACACGGCCAAGCTGATGTCGTTCAGATTTTTAAGCTTTTTAATTTTACGGAGCCAACCGAGCTTGTGAACCGACATGCTTTAACAACTTTAACGTTTTTGGCTTTATATTTCCTACTCACACTAGGAACATGGAATCTTGACGTCTTAGGCGTATCATAGCCTGCCAACCCTGATTGCAAGTCTGAGAAAGCTGAGCTTTCCTATAGTTTCTAGTGTAGCTCCTTTGTTTGTCTTGTTCGCGATAATTGGCATCCTAGCCACAAAGTGGACAACAAGAGGATCTACGTTGGAGAGAACCAGCAAGCCCCCTACAGCAAGCCGTTGCACTTTCGTGCGCTTTGGTCTTTTGGGGTGGATTCTCGAGAGACTGTCCTTACGGCAGCGGCTTTTTGCGGCTTGCGTAAACTCGAGCACCGTCGTCCCTAAAGCTTAGCGATGCTTGGTGACATGGCGAGGAACATGATCGATGGTGTGTATGATGACCAGGATATATCAGGACGGTGCTTTGGGCCACGGCGGTTGCTGCTGGTAAGCATCATACGAGCATGCAGCGCTACCTGTGCCTCAGGGTTCACTAAGACCTTGCAAAACGCAATGCAGGCTGATACAACACCTTTTTTTCTCCTAGCACAAGCCGCAATGCCTTCAACCTACAAGCACAACCTCGCTCAATTCCTGTTCAAAAGGGGCCCTGCAAGCTCTAGAGTCTAGAGCTCATACAGCAAAAGTGTTTCAAACTGAACCCAAAGGAGCCCCCTAGCCCTAAAACCCTAAACCCTAAACCCTAAACACCTAAACCCTAAACTCTAAACTCCTAACCCTTAACCCCTAACCCCTACACCCTAAACCCTCAACCACCACTAAACCTAAACCCCAAAACCAAGACTATCGATACGAAGGCGACAGGACTGTCACCACCTCCAGAGACGCAGAGGACAAAAGGGGCCTTACCTTCTTATCCCCTGGTCGGTTCAGGGTTTTGGGTTTAGGGTTCAAGGGTTCAGGGTTTAGGGAAAAGGGTTTAGGGGTTTAGGGCTTAAGGGTTCAGGGTTTAGGAGTCCCGGGTGCAACAGGGTTTAGGGGTTTAGGGTTTAAGGGTTCAGGCTTTAGGGGTTTAGGGCTTAAGGGTTGAGGGGTTTAGGGTTTAAGGGTTCAGGGTTTAGAGTTCAGGGGTTCAGGGTTTAGGGGTTTGGGGGGTTTAAGGGTTCAGGGTTCAGGGGTTTTGGGCTTAGGGGTTTGGGGTTTAAGGGTTCAGGGTTTAGGGGGAGCTCCAATCAAGCCTGTGTAAAAAAGGGGTGTAGGGCTTGGGCTTATAGGTTAAGGATTTGGGGTGTAAGGGTTTTGTAAGGGTTAAGGGTTTAGGGGGATGGGGGCTTTGAACAATTCGTGAGAGCCCCTTTCAGTTCCTATGCAGGCATGCTATAGTTTGGGCTCCTTGCTTTTTTATCTTGTCTCCTCATGGTATGGGGCCAAGTGGGACAATTAATTGGAGCAAGAAGTACCCCTAAGATTGAGTTAGGACAGGCCTTGCCCAGTTTGGATAATAACACCACCACCGCCCAACTATAGCCAGATGTCTATCAAAGTACTTCACCATTTAGAACTTCGTCCAACATTTCCCAAACCTCATAACCATGTATAATTTAGTAAATTTTAAGGTGGTGTGCTTGCCCATGCTTGGCAAAGAAAGCTTTCGGCAAATAGCAAAAGTAGGTATTTGGGGGGTGGGTTCAGCGCTTGTCGGGGCTGTTGTGGTTTCTTGGTCGGCTTACATATCGGGTTGTCTAGGGCCCCTGTACCCATATAGTTATATATATATATATGTAGGACAGGTATAAAAAATGAGGTCTTCCAAGGCGTCCTATGCAGTAAGTTTGAGGCCAAGGTGAATAGAACATGGGTCATATAGGTGTCGGAAATATCAACAATCGTATTCCATGGCACTTTCAGGATTGTACTAGAGTGTCCCTAAAGCTTCAGTTTAACCCTAAACCCTAAGCCCTTTTAAACCCTAAACCCTAAACTGAAAATCAGGGCCTTCACGTTTCAGGGGCCTTTCGGGTTGTAGAGTCATGAGGCTTCCACCTGCAGCATCAGAGGCGTAAACGAGACCGAGCGGAATCCAGAGACGGAGGGTTTAGGGTTTATAGGGTTGAGGGTATAGCTCATAGGATTTAGGGTGATGCAGGAGTCTTCAGAAAATTATCTCTAAACACCGGAACCCCTAAACCCTGTAGACCCTAAACCCTTTTCCTCTTCCTCCACCAGTTGGGGCTGTGGCTTTGCGAGACAAAACGCTATTCGCGGTTCCTCAAAGGGTCCATCTAATGGGTCCAGCTTCTCTTACTTGCGGGAGCATAGAGGCTCGAACCACTACCAAGATCATTCCTTAGGGCTCCTATGAGAATTACAGCACAAGATACCCCGCAATCCCGCTGTTTGTGACCCAGATATGAAGAACCATCCGTAAACCCTAAACCCCAAGTAACCCCAAACCCCTAAACCCTATATACTCGAGACCCTAGGCCCTAGACCCTAAACCCTAAACCCTAACCCTAAACCCTATATACTCTAGACCCTAGACCCTTGTGGTTCGGCGTCTAAGTCAGGAGCAAGCTCGCCAGCTCTCCATCCGTGCCACGAAGCTGGAGGAGGAGATCTCCATCTTCGTGATGAAGCTGGCGGCGACTTATCTCAAAGTACATTGCAGTGCCTAAACCCTAGCCGACAGAGGCTGAAATCTGCCAGAATGCGGGGTTCTGCAGGGCCCATTCAAACCTGTGAACCCCTTTTTGCATCTAGGAGGCCAAGATATTCAGAACAGGACAGCTTGTGACCCCATGCCGTTTCTTCTTTCTCATGTCCTGATCCTTCAAGAAAGCTCGCGCGCTCTCATCCTTTCGAAGTTTCGCTTCTAAGTCCTTCATGATCACTGCGTACAAAGCCTTTAAACTTAGAGGTCTTGCAACCCACTACTGCTCTGATGTTATGTTGCCCTTGGGTTTCCTTGCTTATTGGGGAAGTAAGTTCGCTCCAATCCCTTGAAACCCCTATACAGCTTTCTCGCACCTACAAGGCAAGTGAACTCCATTTGAAGCACGCATGTGGGGTTTCGAGACGCACCACTGTGTTGGATGTCCTACAGAGCACAACCTTAAGCCAAACGCAGAAGCAGCGGCACTGGCCCTTACCCCTTAGCTCTGCAAGCCTAAAAATGCCTTTTGCCCGGAAAGCCCTGAGCCCTAAAGCCTCCCCATAAACCTTAGCCGAATAGAAACAGACAGAGAGAACGAACTCAGGACTCCATGAACAATCCGAACATCTCCGTGCCTGGCAAATGGAGCAAGCTCCTGAAGAATCAGACGCCCACGGACCCTGGGGGGAAGCTTCAACCCTAAGCTTATGGGCGTCTATGGGGTTGCAAGCATCCGCGAAGATGTGCATCAAGGGGTGTAGGAGTGTGTTGTGACAAAGTTAGGTCTAACATGGTGGTTTGTCGCTTCTGTAGGGTTTAGGGTGCGGAGAGCGTTCTTCGGTGGGAACCAGTTCCAACACTTCCACGGTGCCATCCTTGAGTTATCACCCTGGTTTAGCACAGCACCATGCACAAGCGGACCCAAGCTTTCCAGCAGCCTTGTCCCGTCCACCTTTTGCGTGAGAGGTTCCAGCATAACGAGGGCCCTGGTGCGTTCAACAAGTGAATGGTGGTTTAAAAGAAAAGGTCTTCAGGTTTCGGCGTGTAGGAACAGGGGCTTACACAACACGTGCTTCCTCATCTTACCGACCCAGAGAGATTAATGAAATAACATTGCTTCAACCATGGGATCTACAGTCGAACAATATCATATGGCCTATCTACTGGTTGGTTTTGGTTTAGGATTTAGGGTTTAGGGCTTGGGAATCCGTAGCGCGCTGCACACGCCCATGCAGGACGAAGCTGCGCCGCAGGAGCTACAGATGGTGGTCAAGGACCAGACCAAGCGCACGAGAGTCCTTTAAAGACACCAAGCCCGGACACTTCAAAATTTGGTTTCATTTAGTTAATATGGGGTCGGACGAATTGGCAAAGTATTCCTTACAGGAGTGGACTGCATGAAAAGAAAAAACGGTGAGTGAGCACACCCCTTCAGCAGGTTGTGTGATTTGCTTGTGTGCGTGTGGTGCTTGCTCTTACTGTGAGTTCCACTACAGTCAGAGCTCGAACCACATGCCTCGCCTGGAGTGTCCGAGTGTGAGCGCCGAATCCCCGAACCAAGAACCAGAAACCCTAAACTAAACCGTGCCACAGGACATCGCCGATGCCAAGGGTCATCGGAGCAAGTGGTTCCATCAGGACGAGTCTCAAATGGACCCGACCCTTTGCGGACCTTAAGGTTCAGGGCTTCGGGATAAGGGATTTTGGGTGATGGGCTTAGGGTTCGGGGTTTTATTGCTGAAGACTTAAGGATTCATGGTTTAGGGTGTGGGTTTCCAGTTTGGGGTTTAGGGTTTAGGGTTTGGGATGGACTCAACCCTTTGCTTAGTTTGGCGAGCATGTGGGGCTTCACGCACTTGGGCTCCCGTACAAAGCTATACTAGAGCAGACAGTGCTACACTGCACCATACTTTTCTAGCCTATAACTTGGGGAGTTGTATGATCATCCGGTCTTAGACCTTCGAGGGTTGCGAAGTTTGGGTCCCAACATATTTTGGGTTTACGGTTTGAGGCTTAAGGATTTTCGGATTTAGGGTTTTTGCCGGTGGGTGTCCTATGAGTACGGACGGTTTGGAGCATTGTTAATATCACTTCCCCCTTTGACTATAAACGCCCCCCCTAATACTAAACGCACTTTTCGGAAAATCACCCGCGAAATCATCCCACGCCCTTTCAAACCTATTTCGAATTGCTAAATAGAGATCAAAACATCCCTTATGACTTTGAAATTGGGAATTAGGGCGGGAGGGGGGGGGCCTCCCCTATAATGTTAGGGGTAAGGGATTAATGTGCACCAGCATGGTAAAAGCACTCTGTTCTCATAGCGCCTGGATTCATTCTCGGATCCCTGTTTCTATCCTGATAAGGGTATGAGTTTTGTTTCGAACCATGTGTCGCCCCTAAAACCCTAAGCCCTAACCCCTAAACCCTAAGCCCTAGCCATTGCCTCACATGAAGTGTAATATGGGGGGCCTCAATAATTAGAATAGGGTTTGGTGGTAGCTTATACCATATTTATAATGCGGAACCCCCAAAACCCTATTCTAATTATTAAGGCCTCTACATTACCCGGTGCGACCGAGTGGAAGACTCGAGTGAATGCCTGCATTCATGAATTCCCGGTTGCATCCGGTCGCTCTGGGTTTTGCAGGATTCCTGACGTAGCGTGTTAGGCCCGCTGACTTTTGCGATCAAGTCCAAGTGCCTATTCGGTTCCATGGATATTCGGCCCGAAAGGTCCCATAGGCGTGAACAGGGCCATTCAGAATCTGAACCCTGACGGGGAGAGGGGGGAGGGGAGGGAGGGGAGGGGGGAAGGAAGAAAGAGGGGGTGGGGCGCCTGTGTCTCAACTTGGAACAATCTGTCTAAACCAATGCCTATGACCCCAAGTCCTGCACAGCACCGTTAGCTGAACCTCGAGCAAGCAAAAAAACACTGAGCCTTCGATCAGGAACTTGAAGGTTCAACTTCCAAAGTCACTCGAAACCATAGTCTTAAGACACCCTATAAACCCTAAACCCTAAACCTGCTAGCATACTACAGCTGAGGATGGCGGACACGCGATCAGAAGGGCACCATGCCACCCATGGGCACAAAGCCATCCTCTTCCTTTTCATCACTGCCCGGGACCACAGCTTAGCAGGAATCAGGCCTGCTGTTTCAGTTGTTGCCGATGGGGATGGTGCTGGTGATGATGATGATGATCATGATGATTATGATGATAATGACGGTGATGGTGCAGATGAGGATGATGACGATGTTGCTGCATTGTTGCTGTTGCTGTTGCTGCGTTGTCGCCGTTGCTGTTGCCGTTGCTGTTGTTGTTGCTGAGGATGCTGTGCTTGTTGTTGTTGTTGGTTGCAGTGTGTTTCGGTTGTTGTTTGTTGTGGTTGCTGTTTGTTGGTTGTTGGTTGTTGTTGCCGTGTCGGTTGCCGTTGCTGCTGCTGTTGCTGTGGATGTTGCGCTTGTTGATTGTCGGTTATTGTTTGTTGTTGTTGCTGCTGCTGCTGCTGTCGTTGGTTGGTTGTGGTCATATAGTACTGTGCTCAGCAGTACAGCACTAGCAGCTTACCGCCGTATTGAGCATGTTGTGCGGAATGGTGTGCAGACGATCGTTTCGAGGTCTTCTTTGGAGTCTGCACCAATGGCCTGTTGGAGCGCAAAGGCCTTGATGGCCTGAGGGTTTAAGGATAACTAGTTGTTACAGTTGTTACTAATCACAGATAACGCACTTTTGTCTGGTTTCTATATTTTGCAGAAAGTCAGGTGATTATGTGAATTATAGTATAGCTGTCGTGATTAAAACGTACTTCGGACTGAAATGAGTTGTAGTTGCTATGGTTTTGTTACAGGTCTTATATCGCCGTCATGGTTAAGCCTGTTTCAGTTTTTGGAGTTGGTACAGCTACTAGGCTTTCTGTAGTTGTTATAGCCGTCAGCGTTATGTATACCGATCATAGTTATCATCGGTAACTACTGTAAAGCTGGAAACTCAATGCCTTCCATCCTTCAGAACCAAGTATCGGGAGCTACGGTTGGTTTTTATATATCCTGCATGACCCATAGTGAGGAATATGCCAGAATTCTCATAGTCTAAGCCCCTTAAGGTAATGCAGGATTTACATCATCAACAGTATTGCATGAATCACACCTGTTTCTGTTTCCAAGCTTTTGTGGTTTACTGTAAGGACCGAAGTGTGAGTGCTAAAAAAAGGGCTCGGTCCTCAAGGTCATTTTGTGCGTGTGTGTGGACCTTCGCATCATGGATTCGTTCATTGGCTTTCACGGACTCCTCAGAGGTATGACAGGTCTAATTCCCGTAGTACTGGCCATGACAACGCCAAGTTTTGTTTCTCAGGGCTCTGAAAACCTTATGTAAATCCCGAAATCCCTTGTTGTCGAACCCTTATGGACCAGCCTTTACAGACCCTGTCAAAGGAGCCCTGTTCTAGTTAATGAGCCCTACACCCTAAGCCCTAAACTCTTGCTCAGCCGAAACCCTAAACCCTAAACCCAATAGTTATTAACTGGTTGTAAAGCCGCAACCCTAAACCCTTATTAAGCCCTAAACCCTCATTCCTAAGCCCTAGTTATTAACTGGTTATAAAGCCGAAACCCTAAACCGTTATTAAGCCCACTACTTCTCAAAGGGATCGTTGATTTTCTCTGGCCCCAAGCAACGCCGACCTGGTTCAAGGCGGCTCGCTTCCCTTCACTTGCCGCTTGGTAGAGCAATATAGGGTTTAGGGTTTAGTGTATCGGGTTTAGGGGTTTAGCGTTTAGTGTATAGGGTTTAGCGGTTTCGAGTTTAAGGTATAGGGTTTATAGGGTATAGGGGACTCAAGGGGGTACAGTAGAGTATAGGGATGCATGTAGGGTGTAGGGTTTTGATAGGTTAAACTAGGGTAACTAGGGTAAACCAGAACCGGTTTGGAGTCGTCTGAGGGGATGCAGGGCATTGGGTTTGGGGCTTCGGCGGCTTCGGTTTAGGGTTTAGGGTTTAGGGTTTAGGGTTTAGGGTTTAGGGTTTAGGGGCTTCGTGTTGGTATAAGATTGTTCGGGGTTGCCGGGGCTAAGGTTTCGGGCTTGGGGGGTTTTTCACGACAGAGGTTTTCTTCAGTTGGCTCCGGGCTCTTGCCGACCTACCTTCCCCCGCAGTTGTCGGTCTGTTCGTGTCTACCATGAATCCTTGTCGTACGTCCTGCGTGCGCAGCTTTGTGCGGGAAGGGCGGTTTGAAGTCTCCGTATGCCCGCATATCCACAACTGTTGTGCCAAGCACAGTGTTTTTTTTGCAATGCCCTAGATAGCCTGAACTCCCCTGCCCCTCACCATTGTAGCTTCTGAAAAACCCCTCATACGCAATAAAAAGTTGCAGAAGGTCTCCCCCAGAACCAAGGTGCCATCTTCATCGAGGGTGTATTCCTGGCCTTTCTCCGTGGCGACTCGATGCAAAATCCGCATCAAGGAGCCGTCGTTGTAAGCACCCAGTGGCCTTTGCACAGAAGTGCCTAGTGACCTGGAACCACTCGTGCGTAGGTGTTTACAGTAAGCCACCCGGGCTTACGGCTTCTAGTGTCTAGAAGCCCAGTTACATACATGCAGTCAGACATGATTACAACCAACTACCCAGACGAAAGTAATACATAAGCCTGCAATTAGTAATATTTTTTCTAGGGTTCCCTCCTATGATCATAGCTTTTTAGTACAGCCCACAGCCTTGTTTAAGTACTGAGTCCCTTAGGTTGGATCCTGTGAGTGGTTTTGTAGGGTACCCGAAAACGCTACGGACAGCCGAACTGCCCGGTATCCAGGGGATGCCTGGGTAAACCCATTATATAGGGGCCGTAGAAATTAGAATAGGGTTTTGGGGTATATTATGTTATGAATATAATGAGGAACCCCCAAAACCTTATTCTAATTATATATCAACGCCCTACATTACGTAGTGCAACCAAGATACCTCTGACTGCGTGGTCCTAGATTTGGTGGTCATTCGCTCTTTGACGCATCTATATGGGGGTTTCAGAAAATAGGTCACCCTGATATAGTACCCTAAATAGTAGGATCCTTATTATAAGGACCCCAATATAAGGCACCCCTTACTTTCGGAGACTCCCACATCTATATGGCGTCTCTCGCGCCTTCCCTCGTGAGACACCTCGTCCAGATGGTCCAACTTGTGAGAATCGACCCTACAAGCCCTAAATCCCAAACCCTACACTATACCCAAAACCCTAAACTATACCCTGAACCCTAAACTATACCCTAAACCCTAAACTATACCCTGAACCCTAAACCATACCCAAAACCCTAAACCCTAAACTATACCCTAAACCCTAAACCATACCCAAAACCCTAAACCCTAAACTATACCCTAAACCCTAAACCATACCCAAAACCCTAAGCCCTAAACTATACCCTAAACCCTAAACTATACCCTAAACCCTAAACTCTACCCTAAACCCCAAACTGCCAGACCCTGAGCCGCCCCAAGCCCATTTCGCCGGCCCAGGCCACCGTCTGCTGCCACGAACCTTCGAGGAGTGATGGCCATGATTCCCTTTGTAGGAAACCCATGGGTCGGTTTAGGGTTTTAAGGTTTAGGGTTTAGGGTTTAAGGTTTAGGGTTTAGGGTTTTAGGGTTTAGGGTTTAAGGTTTAGGGCTGTTGAATTTTGGATTTTGGGTTTAGGGTTTAGGGTTTTGCAAAGATCTTTCTATAGGGGCCCTATAAGGGCTTTGAAAGTGTTGACTTGAAGGCTCCAAAACAGGGTCTTGCAGGGGCATGCCTACACCTTGGATTGCTGTACCTAAGTTTGGGTAACCAATGTGATGTGAGGTCCGGTATTCACCGAGAAAGGTACTACGGTCGTGTTTAGGTCTAGAGGCTAGGGTGGCTCCGAAAACATTCGTTGTGCAACGCTTCTGGCAAGCAGAAGTGTGAGCCCCTCAGATTAAATGCCTGGAAAAACCGTTTGTCGGTCTCCACGAAACCTTGATAGTGTTAACTCGCAAGGAGCGCAGCAAAGTGAAAGCAACGTCTCAGCTGTGTTCCCAGATTTCCTCGCGGAGGACTCGCTGGACTTGTGGCACGACATTGACCCCCACCTCTTCATGTGCGCCGGTTGAATTTGAAGAAGCTGCGCACATTTCGATCGCAACACCCTCTGCGTTTAAAACAGAGGCCTTAATAATTACTTATACTAATTCGAGGGTTACTTAGTATAATTATAGTACACTATACCCAAAAACCCAATTTTGGTGATCAAGGCCCCTACCTTACATTTCAATTTCGACCCCTCAGGGTTGATTGGGAGCTGACGGCTCCGACGTGGTTCAGGCGTCAGGGGAGGAGGATTAGCAGATACTAGTATTAATAGTTTTAAAAGTACCCGCACATCCGATCCGCGGCATCACAGTCGTGCAGGAGCCGCAGTTAGGTTCCCCACAACATAGCAGTCGTACCTACTGCTCTGGCCTCTATATTCGGGTCCTATATGTTCTGAAGGACCGCTAGAGCCTGCAGGACATTGGAAGGTTCATATTGGAGTTGTGGCATACGGCCTTTTTGGGTATCAGGGTTTACAGCTAACGGTGGAGTTAAGGCATATTGGGTAGTTCTCCAAAGTGGGGTCCAGCCTAGGATCCGGCTTATAAAGGTGCCGCACTATTATTTTTGGGACCCCCAAAGGGGCCATAACTCGGAGAACTACCCATATAGGGCTTATGGCCGTGCCTTTGTGTGCGCTTCTTTACCTTTTTACGACTGATCACAAACATGCAAGCGGTACCCAGTAAAATCCCTGCTGATGCCGTGTAGGCCCTCGCAGACACAGACGATGAGGTTTGCCTTCCTTCCACCGCTGATTTTCTCGGAGGCGATGAATCTGAACATGAGCGCCTGGGCGGTTGAAAGCATTGGGCTTTGGGCTTAGCGGGCTTAGGTTATCTCCGGGATTATTGGGAGTCAAGGGTTTGCCGGGCTTGTTTTGGGCTGTTACCGCTGTAGGATTCAGGCTTGAAGGTTTTTGTGGAGTCAGGTATTGGGTTTCCGAGGTTGTAGGGCTCAGGGCATCTATAGGGACTGAGGGTTAAGGCTCCGTTGCTTTGTGATGTGAAGGCTTTGGGCATGCACATGCTTTGGGGATCTAGGAGGTTTAGAGCTTGGCGGTTTGGTGCTACTTCGATTCCGCAAGCCTCCTCTCAGAACCCTTCAAACTGTTTCGTGTCTCCGAGTCCTAGTGTTGAAGTCCCCCCACAAGTTGCGTTAGAATCCTTGGATAGGCCTTAGTAGTTTGGTAGGTAGCCTTTAACCTTTTGCGGGCTAGTATATCCCTTCATAATCCCAATATCGCCCCCAAAAGTTAACTTCGAAGTTCCCCATGATACCCGACAGGTAAGCCCATCCCCCCCATAGTAGCTCCTTTTTGGAATTACCTAGTAGGATCCTAAATATAATCCAGAGGCTCCAAATATACGACCAGTATGGAACTAGGTCCAAAAGGACCACCCTCATTATGGTTTTAGGGGCCCAATTCCATAATAGTAGTATATATGGAGCCTCTGGGTAAGCCACAACATGGACCTAATGTTGGGCCCATGGGAGAGGCTCCAAGCCTCAACAGCCCTCCTACGCAACTCATGGCCCGATGACACTCGAAGTGACTCCCAAAGCCTGAAGGAGCGAATCCTTAAGGTTTAGGGGTTTAGGGGTTTAGGGTTTAGGGTTTAGGGTTTAGGGTTTAGGCTTAAGGTGTAAGCTTGGATTGAATCTTGTGTATAAATGCATTGGGCCTCATCAAGAAGCAACAGAATAAAGCGTTATGATATCCTATAAAATGCCTATAAACCTTAAATCCTAAAGCCTCAACCACCCAAGCCTTAAACCGTAGAAAACCCCGCGTTCTCCCTATTATTAAGGGGGTGACGTTTAGTAACCAGGGGCCGATCCCTTCCCCTTTCGACATAGTCTAAGTGGTTGCGTAAAGATGGTGGTGTAAACGAAGAAGTTGCTTGAAGAGCCCAGACACTTACGTAAACTCTCAACTCTAATGCAGAAGCCCCAAAAAGGCATGGTTCAGCGCTGCTTCTGGCAGTGCTTCATCATGGCCGTCCCCGGCGTGCGCGCCCCAGGAGTCAGGATGTGCCGTTGACCCCTACAGCGGGCTTATAGACCAATCAAATCTGGAGGCCTCTCTGATAGAGCTTGTCAAGCAGATGCAAGAACTTCTGTACAGCCCAAAACAGCGCCTATACATGTAATGGTAGCTTAGAGGCTTAGAGCCTGAAACCATCTTCAGCTCAATGTGGCTTTTTAGCATCGTGATCCTTTAGACATCTCAGCTCCGTAGGGCTTTGCTACTACTATCTGTAAAACCTGATCAGCCTTTATTCGTTTTAAATTTTGTGATACTGAATAATATTTGAGGCTTCGTAGGCTCATATGTTTTAGTGGTACTCTTCGTGGAATTCATTAAGTATATACCGCCCTCATGGCTGAGCCCGTATATCAGGAAGTGTGGTTCTAAAGCCCGGGAGCCGTTATTCTCCCTTTTAGGAGTCAAGGCTTAAGCTGAAAATGCTACGGGGTGTTAGGGTCTTGGTTTTAGAGGTTTCTGGCTGATCGCCTCATATCGATCCGGGAATTCGGGGCATTTAAGAATTGTGGTTGGGTCTTGGGCATGCCCAGAACCTCGCGTGCACTGAGGTCCATGGCCCGAATAACACGATGAATGCTGCCTTGGTTGAAGCATCGCGCATGCTTGTAAGCTGCAAACAGAACAGCATCTAGCTGGGAAAGCAGGAATTTAAACCCACATGGTTTTACCATCGCAGGTCATTGTGGGAGCGGTTCTGGCCGGCGTGGCAGCAAAGTACATTCTTCCCTATGCCCTGTGGTTGCACTGTTTTACACTCTGGGTTTTTGGGCACGTTCACAACAAAGCTTCGTCATAACGAAAGCTGCAGCAATCGGTCGTCTCCTGAAGGTTTACCGAGACCCTTACATGGATGGTTTTCCCAAGCCATACTGCGCCGGGCATGTAGGGTGCCGTATTAAGAGTAGAATTATATAGGGTTCGACCAAAGAGACCATGATTTCGACAGTTGCTTACGCGTAAAATTCTTTTCTGGGCCTGATTCTTCGATTTCAACAAACCCTAAACCCCTAAACCCTAAACCCCTAACGTTATAGTTGAATACATCTTTTGCTTCATACGGTGGCGGATCGAACGTGTGATGCTCGCAGCAAATGAGATCTTCGTTCTTTTCTCGACCTAGTTCTGTTTTTGGTGTGTGGACTTGTGAGGGTGGCTGTGTTGTTTTCGGGTGGGACCTGGGAAGGAACTTGATCATGTCTGCACCATGGAACGAGTAGCAGGAATGAGTCGTAATGCATGTGCCTTCCCTAGAGTTCTAAAGCAGACCTCGCCGTGAGCACAGTTTCTAAGCAAAGCGAGAGGGAAACAAAATCCCTAAACCCTAAACCCCTAAACCCCTAAACCCTTTGTCCTAAACAACCCTAAACCCTAAACTCTAAACCCCTCTCAGAATCCTAGAAGAGCTCTACAGGGACTCTGTGGCCCTGTTGGGTTTTTGTGTGGGGCTCTTGAAGAAAGGGACCCTCACCAAGGAGTTGTTGCACTGTGTTTAGGGCCTATATCGATATAGTTTCATGTATACATACAGTTATACATATACACACACATTGTGGCCCCCATATTCATTGCTGACAACGGCCGGGACAAGGGTTCCTAAAGGCCTAACGAGAAGCTTTTTCCTCGCAGTATCGTCTAAATCCGAAACGTGCAAAGTGCAGCAACAACAAAACCCCTAGCACCGTCACGAGCACCAGAGTCATGCATTGCTTGAGCTGCAGCGGAAACCCTCAAACTTCAGCACCTAGTCCTGAACACGCTGTCAGACATTGACATTCAGCACGACAGATGCCAAATGGCGTGGCAACAGAACGGCAAACGCCCCTAAACCCCATAATATAGAAGCCTAAGTAATACCAACATATTTCCTTAGTGTTCCTTAATATATTTGCATACTATAAAGCAGCCCCAAACCATATTCTGATTATCAATGAAGGCCCTTATACCCCAAACCCTTATAGTAGCCCTTATAGAACCCTTGTCAGGATCCCTTAAAAAGAACACCAAAACCCTATTCTAAATGATACAGGCCCCTACATATACCCTCTCTGAGGAATGGTCTTGGCCTCTGGCCATGGCCTTCGGCGCCACTTCCTGCACTGGGGGCTTCGGGGTCTGCGGGTACGGGGTTTAGGGTTTAAGGGCCGTTGGGTTTTGATCTGGGCATGTGGGATTGGAATGTTGCAGGTAGCAGCAGTTTCCAGTGCAGTACTTCTGATTTCAAGCAGACCTGTCTTGAGTCCCCCAAAGCCAAATTCGACAATTACAAGTGCTATGAGTGACGACACGGCATCAGGCAGGGCTGTTTTTGTTAATGTGCGGCCCAGTGCCCGCTTGGAAGCCTTCAACCTTAAATTCTTAAATGCCAGAGCACAATAGCTTGAAGTCAGCCAAAATACATCTAAATACCCCAAAACCTCAGAACTCTACGGCCCTAACCTCCTCAATGATGGAGACCATTTCGCTCAGGTGCCATTACTTCTGCCACGGATCCGGTGGCAGTGGTCTCCATTTTCAACTCCTTGGGCGTGTCCCACGGCCTCATACACGTCTTTCTTCCAAATCGGTAGTGTAATTGTGCTCATGAGCATCTTGTGCACTTGCTAACTGCTAGCTAGTTCTAGCATGAATGATTCTTCCTGTTATTCATGAGCTTCTCAGTTTTTGGGAAATGCCAGTGAGTTCTAGTATGACTCTTGCTTTCATCATTCACTTCGTGTTTTCCTTGGAAGCCGATGGAACCTACGGGCCCAAGGCTGAAAGACGTGGAAGCCTCGAAGAATTCCTGTAGGGCTCCATTTAATTACCTAAATAGTAGGTTACTAGCCATGAAGTATGTAAACCAGTAACCCGTTATAGTTATCTAGGTAACTAGAGCCCTAGGGATTGCCTAACTGTTACCGTTATGGATCCCTTCAGAGAACCATAAAGGTTGAGGATCATTTGGGTAAGGGCCTCGAGGGTTCCGCAAGCTTACTCTTGGGACCCAAGTGTTGACCCATGCGAATCATACCTTAGGGTTCTGACACGTTCCTAACTCTAGCTGTGCTATAACATACCGCTCAAAACTCCATTCGACTCATTAGGGCTCCTTGTTTCAAAGTCTCTCTCAAGCAGAAGACTTCTTTCGCATCTCCCGGGCAGTTATGAACACATGCATTGTTGAGGTCAAGGACCTCTGGAGAACCCATAAGGCATAAGACGCGGGGCGAAGCCATGCAGACTCTAGTGGGTTGGGCCAGCACTGTAGTCTTCAGGCTTGCGCATTGTGCCACGAGCCCCATCGAAGCATCTTCAGTACCTCACTTCCTTAAGAGCAGCCTTTCAACACTGCGGCATGCAAGGCACAAACATTGATGCGCACGCTTCTTCGCAACGCTTTGTTGAACTGTTGAGTGAGGTCGCCACGGCTGACGATGCTTATCAGCGGTGAGTCTCTATTGAACGACGGTACTGCTATCGCCCATCGGTCGCAGATGGGGTGCATGGGAGTGGGGACTTCCCAGTGAGCCCACGAAGACTTATTCCTTAGCTAAGGGGTCAATGGGTCTTGGGCTCCCTGAGTTCAGTTCACTGCTAGCACTCAGAGGTTCACGCTGGCTTATGTTCTGGCTGACAGTAGTTGGGGGCGGAGTAATTTTGCTGCAAGGTGGCGTAATCAACAGCCTCAGACGCAAGTTACGGTGTAGAGGTTCAATGTTCTGTCCCCCACGAAGCTTGCGTCGGTATATCCCTTCTTACCCATCGTACCAACCCTTATTTACGAATTTCAAGCATCGGGATTTCCAAGACAGCGTGGGCATCGAAGCGATAGATTCCCGCGATCTGGGCTCCAAGACACAGCTTCGAATCAGATCAGATTGGAGCCTCAGAGCTCTTAAACCTGATGGACATGTTTGGCCAAGAGCTGGGCTTAAGGCTTAGGGTTTACCCATAGGCCCCATAGTAGTTCCTTTCTGTGGCTTATATTTAGGATCCTACTAAGCAATCCCAAAAAGGAACTATGGGGCCTATGGGTAGGGCTCACGGTGGGGCCACAAGTCCTGCGCAAGGCTTCTGTCGCCTCTTCAAAGCAGCCTAAACCTGAAACACTGAACGCAAATGACAAGCCTTAGGGTTTAGGGGTTTAGGGTTTAGGGTTTATCGTTAGGCCCAGGACCCTATATAGCCCAATGTAGAGATATCTTTCAACCTAGTTCGGGTTTTCGGGTTTAGAGTAGATTTAGGTTCCTGCAGCCCAATGAACTCAATGCAAAGCTGTACGAAGTTTCATCAACATGAGGAGTTTCGCCTGTAAAACCGTAACAACTGCATAGCCTTCAAGATTAGCAAATCTTCTTCGCTCGCTCTCTTCTCCTGACCCTCTTCAAGATGTTAAGGCTTTTTAGTTTACGGTAGCAGGTCTTCTTCAACCCCTTCAAGGTGTTTACGCTTGAGGGTTTAGGGTAGCAGGTCTTCTTCAACAACTTCAAGATGTTTATGCTTCAGGGTTTAGGATAGCAGGTCTTCTTCAACCTCTTCAAGA